AACATTTTACAGAAATAGAGAAGCCGAATTCAAATTACTCGTTAAATAATTCATAAGTTGCAGTTAATGTTGCGTCCATAAATTATATATCCATAAATTTCAACCAATGTTTACTTATTTCTTCGTACCTTTGATAACCAAATGTCAGCTTTACATCGATATATGTATTTGTCGTTACGACAAACATGATTATATGATACATATCAATACATACGTTAAACAAATTAATGGCGTTGCACAGATAGGCTGTATTTTATGAGTTACTTTTCTTCTAAGCTTTCGGGGCAGGCCCTTTAATTGTGTCATCAAAGTAGAGCAGTGTGCAAGCAAACTTTATTGTTACGAATTCACTCTACGCGATGACAATAAAAAGGATTTCGTCGAGGCGACATCCTCTGCCTGCTACAAGGCTACTACGCCCGGGCTTTCTAAGCTCCAGTAACCTCATTCCTACGGCTTTGTGCGCCAACGGAATATTTAGGCACAATTTACTTGCATTACATAGACTAAACTTTGCAGACAGTGCTTACTACCAATATAATTTGTCATGATATTTCGTGGCCGTGACGGCCGGCGTCTAATGTTATTGCTAAAGTAAATGAAATAATGTATACTTGTATTGTATAATAATATTACTTGTAATTGTAATCTACATTTAAAAAATGTTTTGTACAGTATTTATTATACTATGTATTGTCTACACTTATAATGTTTTACATGACAGTAATCAGGCTACAGTCCATTTTAAAATTATTTCTTAGTGTTGTTACTGAAATAGTTTATTAATAGCTTATAAATATATATATATATATATTTAAGTATCTGTAAAGTTTTAGAGGGAATTTAATCTTCCAGAATCTGCATAAATTCTTATTTTAGTAAAACTTGTTTCAAACGAAATGAAGGCATAAAAATGCAAAATTTTGATCTAATCAAAAATCCCTGAGAATAAAATTTTGTAAATTAGATGAGATCGATGGTTACTGTTAAACATTTATCTCAAAACCAAATTATGACCTTAAATAAAAGAGAACAAATTAGTTAATCTCTAATTTTCAATGTCAATTAGTCGTCAAATTCATAAATAAAATCGTTATAGCTAAAACAAATATATGTTAAAGACAAATTCAATATGTTCATGATTCAAAATAGTAATTTAAAATTTGTTAACCGAAAAAAAATATGTAGGAACATATAAATTCGTTCTCGCATTAATTAAAAAGACATAACAGGGGGGAATCTCTCTGAAAAACAGACGAAACTATATGAAAACGACCGAGCAGAATTCTCCTTTTGATTCTAGACACGAGATAAATTTTTGTTACGAGGTAGAAATTGTAGCAAATTGAAACACTCGGAATGAGTTCAACCCCCCCTCCCGGCGAAACCTTGCTGTGGGGGGTAAGAAAACAATCCAGAACGGGGGGCTTCACCCATTCAGGACCAAAACACGTGTAGACTGATAGTTGAAGGCCATGTTGGGAATTTAAAATATTACCTCACTCTGTCCGTGCGTTATCGCGATTCTGGGCGCGGGCAGGTGTTTTTTAGCGCTTTCCCCTTTTTAGCGTCTGCGATATTTTTCTTAAGGGGAAAATGTGGAGCTTTATGCTGAAAATCAAATGGCTCTTAGCCAACTTTTCAGTAGTGAACACAGATCGACAGGATTCCGCTTTGGTGCTGACAACGCTAATGGAAACATTTTGAATGTAACTAAATGAACAAGCATATGAAAGAAAGTAATGATAATATTATTCTCCGCGTTCTATACCGGCTAAAGTTATTTGATTAACAAACAGTTCCACACGATCCTATATGCTTAATGAAGGCTTGTAATAATTGAACAATGACAATTGATGTATAGTCAATTTAAATTTAATTAATATTCTTTTTTAATGTTATACGGTGGGAGAATAACCTAGTTTGGTGCAAATGTAACAAAAACTTATCATGTAATTGTCATCGTTACTTACTTGAAAAAATAAGGTGAGAACAATAACGAGCGTACAGTTCTACGAACTCTTATAATTATAGTGAGCGTAACAAAGTAAAGTTTGTGGTTACCACCGTTGGAGTCACCCTGTTAAAATTCATTTAACATTCTACTAATGGCCTTCGATCCGTCGTATTACAGTTTCTGTGCTATCATCGAACGCAATAATTGGGCTATCAACAGCGCATGCGTATTACATGCATTCGTATTACTTGCGGACGCTAAATGCTAAAGGTCACGACTCACGCTTGAATACCTGTTTTTTTAACGGCATCACTGCAAAGGTAAAATCGATAAAACCCTATGGAAGAATCGTACTATATACGGACCTTGATAATTATTATCTTTGTTACATTTGAAACGATTACACCCTGACGTATGACTATTTTCAATAACTTTATTCAGTATAGTACTAAAATATACCTCGTATGAAGTTTCAAACTTCAACCAGTTATAAAAGAAATCGCTGCAAACGATACTTCACTATATTGAAATAACGTTAAATCACAAGTCAAGTTAATCAATCTAAGACGTTAATCTAAGATGTAAGACTACCATAGAAACAAGTCTAATAAAGATTGAGCTACAATAAAATAATATCAGGTTAAATAGATGTTTATTCAGGTATAATAGATACACATGGTAAAACAAAATATTAGCATTAAAATGAAAATGACTTCGAATCAATTACTAACCTGTTACTAAACGAACGTGTACATTAAGATGAACATGATCGTGTCATACCTCACTTATATAATTTTCCTTAACAATTAAGGAATCTATTTCTTTTTACGTAACGGTAGTTCCATCTAAATTAAAATAATTGCCACCTATTGACACCCATTTAGAACAGAAATATACCCCCAGCAGTATTATTTGTTGCGGATAACGCAAACCGTTCAGCGAGCACGCCCTGGTTACAGGACGAAATTTAGAAGTGTATAAATGATTCTACTTATCAACAGTCCTCTGGATGTCTGACTAGATACCAGTTCGTACAACTGAAGAATGGCGTGGCCTTATCACCGTGGAACTATCCACTGTGTTCTTTTATAGTACTATGGAATTAGACAGCCTGTACCGAACGAGCGAAAATATTATTTTTCAGTGAGCAAACACCTAATTAACAATTTGGCCGTGAGTGTACTCGTGCGGGGTGCCGGGTGCCCTGCACCCCGCACTCATATCGAAATGGCAAATGTTTGCAAACAAAAGCAAATGTTTGCTCAGACTCAATACAAGCCTGTTACGCAGCTCATATCGAAATGGGCATTGGAAATCAAAAATTGGGCAAAGCCCTGAATGTTTGTATTTCGATCAAATCGGCGTCGGAAAACTGGGTGTTTGAATAGCCGAGTGTAATTGAACGCTAACTCGTGCCGCAAAGCACGGGATTTTCGTCTTCATAACAAAGGCGATCGACTAGCGACCTGTCACTTAACAGAGGCTCGCTTTTTATGTTTTCGTCCCATTTGTCCCGATATCAATCCGTTCTTTTTGTGCGAGATATCAAGAAATACCGTTAGGAACTGACGAGTGTGTTTAATCAGATATATCTTATCTATAAGAGCGATAAAAAAATATTATTGATTTTTAAACTAAAAAACGAAAAATTGAAACGAAGCTGTATCCAGCAATCTTTAAAAACAATAGAGGAGTGTAAGTAAAGTAGCTGGAAACTAAGGTACCTCAATTTAAATGTACGTATGTATGTCATCCATCCTATTTTAGTTATCGCTAATACTTGGTAACTTGGTATTTTGCCTAATATTATAATATTCATTACCTACTTTTTTTTTGTTAGCTTTAATCTGTCATTGCTTTTTAATAACGTGATCGACTAAAATACTACTAACGCCTAAAATACTTGTACTAATTAGCGTTTCTCGGGATCAAAACTGTAAAGGGCGCTTTTAATTAGAGCGCCTAAATCGTTGTCAATCGATACGTAGAGAGGTTGATCTACCGAGAAATGCTAAGGTTCGTCTTCTGCGTAACTCACTTTATGATTGATGACGTGAAAATTTTAACAATTTCCACGAAACCCCACACGTTTTCCGCGAATTCGGGTAATCGGCGATACGGTGACGTCGGCTAATAAAATTACTCTGTCTGCGGCGAAAACTAGACGGGGTGCTTTTTTCTCTAAACGCAGAAATCTCAATTGGATAGACCCATGTAACGGAGGTGTGAAACCGTCTAGACGACCCGAAACGACGGATTTTGATAAGGGTGTTGTCCGCGGCCTTGAACTTGGAAACGACTTAAACAAATAAGGTAACCCCGCGGCCGGCAATTTGTTCTCATTGTTCAAGGGGAAAAAAACATTGATGAACAGTTTCCCATGTCGTCTGTTTGATAATATTTCTCGGTAGTAAAGTAAAGAAAGTAAAGTAACAGCCTATACATGTCCCACTGCTGGGCAAAGGCCTCCTCTGTACAGAGGGTATCAGGGCATAGTCCACCACGCGGCCCCACTGCGGATTGGCGGACTTCACATATCTTCAAAATATATATATTTTTTTGTTAATATTTCGAAAATGTGCAGGTTTCCTCACGATGTGTTCCTTCACCGCGGAGCACGTGATAAGTCAGCACTTAAAGTTAAAAACTTTATTGGTGCCAGCACCGGGGATCGAACTCAGGTTGCTCGAGTATATTGAATTAAAGGCGAGCGCACGGACACTGAGCTATCACGGCTCTATTTCTGGGTATCTTCATTGAATTGTTATATTTTTGGTGTTTTCGACTCGCTAACGCAGCTCAAGGAGTAGAATTATTGCTCCAAGATTCCGCTTTTCATGTCATCATGTGGGGAAAACATGGTTTTCCGTCGATTATGTGATTTCACGTCAGGTGTGACCCTATAGACTTAGTGAAGTGAAGATAGCATGCGCAATCCCTATTTAATTCGTTAGAGTATCAAGTCGTGGAATTTTATTTCTGCAGCGCAATCAAACACAAAACGCAAACTGCCATTACACGAGCCATGACCTGAATAATTTTAATTGATCAAAACAGGTACGTTACTACCCGGGGACAGGTCCTTCGAAGCGAAAGTCCGGACCCGCGACAACATCCAGGGCTCAGCTCGGGCGCCGTACGAAAATAGGTTCAGCCAGTTCCTAAACAAAAAAAAGGAAACTGAAATAAACAAGGTCGGGGAATCAACGCCGCCGTCGCCGCCGCCATAAGACCGACGGCCGTCCTTGAAAACGGCCGGGTGTGAGGGGGTAGCTCTTACAAATTGGGTTATTACGCGTGGGGGCGTGGGGGGTCGAGGCGGCACGTGCGGCGGAGAGGGATGGAGATAGACGGCCCGCGCTTTGATAGTGAGAGAGAGTGAGGTGCCCGCGTGGGCGTACTCCGCTCCACCCGGGCACGCCTCTCCAGGAAGGACTCCCGGACTGGGGTTCCGGCGCCGATCATTATAATTACTCTCCAAGGTGAGTCGGGAGCTGCGCCGCCGGCAGACTAATCCAGCGGCTGCTCCCGGGGTTCCCGCTGACCTCCGAAGCTATATCGCAAACGCCAAACGCTCACAAACCGGCTAATTGCCCACCGTTAAGACGATTAGCTAATCTACGATTTTCAGTACGGTACGCTCGGCTCGGCGTACGCGACGTAATCGGAGTTTGACGTGTCGTTTATCGCGACAATTAGACGCAATAAAAGAGACCACTCGCGAAGAAAGGGTCATTACGCAACATAAAAACGTGGCTCAATCTAAAGGATTAAGTTGGGCGTGTTAATCAAGATAAAACTGTATTTTTAAAACATGACATATATTATTATTGGAGGTTGCACAATTATAAACTCACAATCTCGAAAATTTTGACCCATGAGGTGGGCTCGGCTACTTCATGCCAATGACAGTTGATAAGGCGACTAAATCAACAACTACATCATCCATGCAATTATTACTTGATGGGGTTTCCAATCTACATTGACAGGCGCCATTTTCAGAACATTTTATAACATTTCGATTATGCAATCCAAAGTACAAAAACACTGACATTGTCAAACAATTCAAAAAAAAATTAAGATTCAAAGCCGTGCGAAAATATTGCTTTAAGTAAAGTAACAGCTTATATAATATATATAATTATAATATTATGACCCCACTGCTTATATAATATTATGTACTACTTATATAATATTATGACCCACTGCTGGGCAAATGCCACCTCTGTGTGCAGAGGTACTAGGGCATAGTCCACCGCGCAACCCCACCGGGGATTGGGTTGTTCACATGTCTCCGAAATGTTTGATGTGAAACCTCTATTGCGGCGGGCCAGACAAACTGTTGGCGTCGCCACACAAATCGTAGTATAATATGCCAACAGTATATTATACTATGATAGTATGAAACATACGGTGTAGTGAATGAAACATACGCGCAAGTGACAAAGAAAAACATATTGAATTTCTATTTTTATTGCATTAAATTAATATAAATATTTATTAAATAAACAATCATCTTCCTATTTTAAATAAATCTGAAATCAACAGCAGGATCAGTGCTGCAGCTGCTGCATTTGGTAGGCTGCGATCTAAGGTCTTCTGCTCGCACGACCTTAAGCTGGCTACAAAAATCTCGGTGTACAAGGCGATTGTGCTGCCAAGCCTCTTATATTCCTCCGAGACATGGTGTGTGTATCGCCACCACATTCGTACTCTGGATCGGTTCCACCTTAAATGCCTTCGTACCATCATGAAGATCAGATGGTCCAACCGGGTGCGTAATACTGAAGTTTTGCGACGAGCCAATGTCGGTGGCATTGAGGCATATTTAATACGTCGGCAGCTTCGATGGTGTGGTCATGTGTCACGTATGGCGGAGGAACGAGTGACGAAACGCATCTTTTACTCTGAACTAGAGGAGGGGAAGCGGAAACATGGCGGTCAACTCCTCAGATACAAAGATGTTCAGAAACGACATATGAAGAGATGCAACATTGAGCCATCCAAGTGGGAGGTTTTGGCAGCGCAGCGTACGGAGTGGCGCGGAATTGTGCAGAGGCGTATCCGCGAGTTTGAAGATCAGCGTAAAGCTGAACTCGACGCTAAGCGCGATGACCTAAAGGCCCGTCCAACCGCCGCCATTAATTATAACTATGTAGGCGGCGTACTCACGTGCCCTCACTGTGCAAGAGAGTTTGCCGCCAAGATTGGCTATATAAGCCATTTTCGGGCGCATCAGCGTCAAATCAATTAGGAGTTGAAGAGGTCGCCATGGCCGAAATCGGTCGGAATAATCATCATCATCAAATCTGATTATTTTGTATTGAAGTAAAAATTCTTTAGGCGCGACTAAGGCGTAACTGAATGCTTTGAACGACGCGTGTATGGTTACACGCACTCTTTCTTTGACTATGCAATATTTAGTCCCTTCCATAAAATGTCCTATTATGCATATCATCTGTAAATCATAATTTCGATGTTTCACATATCCCGGGCGTCCCGCGTAGGTATATCTCGCATTTTTGTTTAAATCTTTTAAATATAATCTTAAAAATCTTTTAAATATAATTGAATCGTTCTCTCTTATAAATCTCAGCAACTCTGATGGACTTATTCCTGTATTCTTCTCTGTATTGTAGATACATAACACGTGAACAACGTAGCTGAAAATACTTTATGTGCTTCATAGCTTCGCTTGGAATTAGAAACCAGCGTTCTGCCCTAAGACACCGGGAGCAGTCATTTATGTAACGAACACGATAATCAACGGACGCACACGTGAGCGTCAACTAACAATGACTCGGTGTTTTAGAATGGCGAATGTTTTGAACACAGCCGAAACGGGGCGTAAGCCTTGAGGTATGCTCAATGTGTTCGCCGACTGCGGTGCCTACATTCCGATGGCGATTCGGTGACGTCACCCGCCAGGGACCGATTATGCGTGTGCCCCTAGCAACAGAGTGCGTCGCTTTTGCCGTGCGTTTAACTCAACGGAGGAACTCCATTTCGTTTATTTGAGTAAGATAAAATGCTTGCGTCTGGTTTCAACCCAACATAACGTGTTACTATAATGTATACAGCGTGTCTTTACAATGGCGACAATAAATGAACACGCATATAGAGGATAAGTTTTTAATATTGTATTAAAGATTTAAATTCTTTAAACATCAATATTTACCGAGTTATCAAATTTTCCAAAACAAAGAATTTAAGAACACCCTTACGTATAAAACTATAACGTAAAGTTCATTTCTAAAGGTCAAAAAGCATATGAATGGGTTGAATGAATTTAAAAAAGACAAAACATACTGTTAGAAGGAGAGGCTTGTAATGCGACGTTGTGGCGCGAGTTGTATAGGATGTTACAAATTTTGTTTCTTTTTTACTTAATTAGTTTGTTTGAAAAATATTTTTTTTTAATTAGGGATTGTGTTTAACGTTAATATTTTTTATATTGGCAAGTATGATTATTGGCAAGTAGCGTTAGACGTGTGTTCATTTATTGTCGCGATGGTAACGACACGCTGTATATCCGGCTATATTTTTGGTATTATTTGTTGAAGTTCAAGTAACGAAGTTTTGGAGTGTCATTTTTTTGCCCAAGAGAAACGAAACACACAACCAAAGTTTCATCCATTCCCATTTCAAAAAGACCAAACCTCTTAAATACATTTCTACATTGTAATTACTTTTTTTTAATTATACAATGGACAATGGCGACTTAAAATACTAAATAGTAGTTCAAAAATTTTAATTTCACTTTTTAAGATGACTAACTTTTTAATGTTTCCTTCTCCGTTTTCCTGTCATTGAACTCGAATAAAAACAGACAAAAAAAGGATCAAAAGAACGTACGGTGTAATACGTATTGCTAGTTTTCTTTTGGATGACCAAAACATATTGATTTAGAAATTTCTCACTCGAAATATCCGAGCCGCCCGTGGGGGTTGAGCTATGTAAATGGGAAATTAATTCAGAACTGTTGAGCCGTGATTCGGAGCGAAGGCTTCGAACAACGAACGTCGGCCCGACGCGTTTTGTGTTAAATTTGCAAACAAACATTTCAATGTAAATATAACCTAGTATCGATTTCGCATTTTCGTAATTAATATCTTAACTATTTCAGAATTTGTAGAAAAAGTACGAAAAGATTGTCGCCGCTGTGGGAATCGGCGTGACAATCAGCCGTTTCGCTTAGTGGCTAAAGCGTCAGGCCGCGAATGCCGAAGGCGTGTGTTCGATTCCCACAGAGCGGCGACAATGTTTTCGTACTTTTTCTACAAATTTTAATGTTTAATGTTAAGTGCAGAGATTAGCGCTATAACATTTAATTAATATAATTAGCACTAATAAATTTGAATTGTTGCAAATAAATTTTAGCGGTATAAAACAAGTTTTTGTTATTTGTTGTCACAAATATCCCTATCCTAGTACATAATTACATGCATTTACAAATACTTAAAGCTTAAAACTGTATGGTTTCCGTTACACACAGTGCTGTGTATTCGATTATCACAAGAAATGTAAATATATGAGATTAGTGTTATTCCCAGGCTTGGATGTGCTTCTGTTGTTTCAGACGTTTCAGAAGCCCGTGAGATGCAACATTTATATCTAATATATAAAATTCTCGTGTCACGGTGTTTGTATTTGAACTCCTCCGAAACGGCTCGACCGATTTTCGTGAAATTTTGTGTGCATATCGGCCAGGGTGGAGAATCTGACAACATCTATCATCTAGTATAGTATCTATCATCTAGTATATCTAAATAAGTAAGAAACGATATCCTCTACCCAACTCATAGGTCAGAAAAGATAGAATTTTAACTTTGCACAAAATTACCGATCCAAACTTTGTTTTATTTCAGGTTTGGGATAAATGTTCAATTCAAAGTAATATTGACTAACTGTAAATTAATTTCAAATTGGAATGATGTCTGAATAAACACTATTCTGCGTATATGTGTGCCTTCATCTATGTAGTAAACCTGAAATATGTAAATAATATACAATTAAACTGTATTTATACTTTATTACAAAAACCGGCCAAGTGCGGTTTTTGTTTATCACTTATATATTTTATAATTTGTATTCATGCTATAGTCTTCCATATAGAAATAAAATAAAAATATTAAAAAATATAAAATTAATAAAAAAATATATAAAATTCTATAGCGGCAACTGAAATACATCATCCGTGAAACAAATTTCAACTGTCTAGCTATCAGGTGTCATGAAATAAAGCCTGTTGACAGACAGACAGACAGCGGAGTCTCAGTAATAGGTACCCTTTGGTGTCGGAACCCCAAAAATTTATTCAAGTCACGTGTCACCTTTTGCTACCAAACAAGCAAATGTTAAAAATATACTTTTACATAGAACGAGCATCAAATGATATATAAGCGTGAGTGCGCCGATTTGACATAACTCCTTCCCGTCTGGTTTCCTAAAAACTGGAAGATACCGCAATCGGAGGGAAGATATTATCGAGAGCAGAGAAATCACTACGGCTTAGGTGCGTCGTCGTTAGTTATGTAGGCCGCAGCATCTCTCGCAGCGTAATAGGATTGTGCTTAATCTTATCAAGTTTTACATTGGACACTTTCCTATCTCCCGTCGAGTTGGGAAGAAATTTTATGGCGTTAACGGTCCAATTTAAAGCAGGGGAACTAAAAATGTCAGATGCCCTTATTGCATTTGAGCCACTTCTAAATATTACCGAAAAATCAATCTTGCGGTCAATTAAATTTTGTTTCGTGCGAAATTATAAGTGAATTCGTCGAGTTTGATTTACACAAAATAAAAACAAAATCAAGCGAAAATGGACCTACTCTTTAAAGGTTGACAACGGATCTGCATCCCCTTAGGTGTTATAGACGTCAATGAACGACAATAATTAGGCATTAAGTCCGCCCAGGTAGCATAAATAAATAAACAAATAAATAATCACAATGTCGCTCGCTTGCCAAATTTTCAGATTGTAATTGCAAATTCCT